AGCTGCGGGTGAAGGCAGTGCAGTCGGCCCCCCTCCCCCACCTGCGCTTCCCCCTGCACGGACAGCATGTGCTCTGCTGGCTTTCTAATAATGGGACACAGTTGGCTACAGGCTTTGGAGTAAAAAAAAAAAAAAAAAAAAAAGACTTGACCTTAAATCTCAGGTCTTTCACTTAAAAGCAGTGTGGCCTTAGATAACCTGCTTAGCCTCCCCATGCCTCAGTTTCCCCATCTGTTACCTGGGGATACTATTGTCCACCTGCTACAGCTGTTATGAGGATGAATGAAGTTATGCGTGGAGGCCTACCATGTGGTGCCCGGCGCGCTCCCATTATATGTCTCCTTTCCCACCCAAAGACTTCTGCCAGTCCCTTCCAACCCAGACCCTTGCAGGGAGCCACGACAGCACCTGAGGGACGTCTGGCTGGGTTACCGATGCTGGCTGTGGCCATGCATGAAGCAAAGCCAACTGACCCATAACGAGTTCAATCCCATGATCCTGATGTCAATAGCCCGGCTCCAACCAACTGAGCTAATTATGGTAGAGTCAGATTCAACCCGGCTTGCACAGAGATGCTCTTAGCAGTTCATACAACATTCTTAAACAGTTTTGTCCTAAGATGCTCTGTGACACAACGCACTTGCCAACTTTACCAGTGATCTCATCTTTTAAAAATCTTAATGTAGCAAACAGATGTGTCCCTTAAGAGGATTAAGGTAGAAATTCATTACAGCAATAATACCAGTGGATTTGTGTTCTATAACTAACACCGATCAATCAACTTAGGGCACACTCCATCTTAGCACTAGTCAGCTGCAAGAAAAACATGGGAGAACTGAACAGCCAGGTCTTTTCCCTCAAGGAATTTATCTGCAACAGGGGAGACAGTCAGAGCCCCACCTACTGAAAGCCTGACCTAAATGACCTCTAATCCACGCTGCTTCGACTGTATTTGTGCACAGGAATCACCAAAGCATGTTGGGAAAAGAACTCTGGCAAATAGACAGGCTGCCTGGAAGGAAGACATCCAAGACATAAAAGTGGAGTCATTAAGAGCTCAGACCTGGTGTCAAATGCCACCTCTGGAACTCCCCACTCATGTGACCAGGGGAATTTCGTCTGCTCTGGGTCTCTTCTGCTATGACATACAACAGTCCACCAGTACCTGATTCATGGACTTAGTGAGATAATGCATGTCTAGGATGCTCCTTGTCTCAAGGAGCACTAAGCAAGTACTTAGAACATGGTCACTATTATCACTCCACTCTGTCTAGTCCACAAAAAGCACCAAAATATCTCCTGAACTAAATTACTGTCTTCATTGCCATTTTAACAGGTAGGCTAGTTATCACTTTTTTGTAAAAATATTCTCCAATTCCACTTTTGTCTATCAAAAGGAAAGAAAAATCCTTAGCCTTTTGTATCAATCAATCCAAACACATGTAAATTTTGAAAGCCTTATGATTTACTAATTCTACTGTATAGATTTTTCTAAATTAGAAGTCCTATAATTATAATTCTTTAAAACACTAAACCAGGAACAAACACCTATTTATGCAACATTTGAGAACAAAAGGCCTTACATACACAGGCCAGATAGAACACATAACCACCAAAATGAACATCTCCCCAGTGAGAATACAGCGTCTGTTTTGACCTTTTTGTTATCAAACTCATCTTTAATTTAATTATCTTCACTAGAACTACCAGCAGCTTGAGAAAAAAAACAAAGATAAAACATAATAAGCATAATATATCGTTTTTGTCCAAGATGATACTAGTTAAATGAACAACTAACTTCTAAAGGAGTCAGCAGACATGATCTAAATTAATATGTCATTAAGAAAAGATGCACACGGGGCGCCTGTTGGTTAAGCGTCTGCCTTCGGTTCAGGTCATGATCCCAGGGTCCTGGGTTGGAGCCCCACATGGGACTCCTGCTCAGCAGGGAGCCTGCTTCTCCCTCTCCCTCCCTCTGCTACTCCCCGCCTCTTGCCTCTTGTGCTCTCTCTCTCACTCACTCTCCCCAAAAAATAAATAAAATCTTTAAAAGAAAGAAAAGAAAAGATGCACAGACTCCAGTCTGGGCTGGGAAGGGCCTGAGAGATTATCCAATTCACAGGTTCCCAACACAGGAAAATCCTAGTAGGGGGGCTGTACAAATGAGAACCCTCCGCAGGGCCTTGTAGATGCCAGTTACACAGGTGTGTTCACATGGTGACCATGCCCCCAGCTGCTCACTTACGTCCTGCACACCCTTCTGTCTGTGTGATCTATTTCAAGCAACAAAAGTTTACTCCCCCAGGGAGTTGCATGTGCTGGACGGCTGGGTACACCGAGGGTGTCTGCATGTTCCACGGTCATGCTTCTCCGCCCTGTCCATCACACAGGTCGCCCTCCCCCAAGAAACTCCCCATCTTGCCAAGGCCAGGCTCAACCTGGGAGAAGCGTTCCCTGTGGTATGGGGAACCTTACTCAAGGCAGGGGCCTGGAGTGACAGCCTGCCCCCTCCCTCACTATCCCCTAATTCACAGCAGGGTTGGTAACTATCTGTTCCCACCTCTCAGGTGAACTCTACCAGACCAGGAATTCTGCCTCAAGGCTCTCACTCATGCTTGTAACATTCACCTGCCCCAAGCCAAAAAGTACCTGGCACGCAAGGGCGATTTGGTAAGCTCCCCAAGTTAATGGGACGGAACCCCCCAGGAGGTGCTGCTTCTGCCCACAGCCACACAGCTGGTCCAGGGAGCAGAGGGGCCCTGGGAGCTCAAGACACACAGCCTGGCTTGAATCTCAGCTCTCTACTCCTAGCAGAGAAACTAGGTGCCTTCAGTGCTCTTGGCCTCAGTTTCCTCACCTGCAAAATAGGAATCCTAAAAGTATCCACTTCACAGAGGTATGCAGTACTCAGTGAGACTGTGCACTCACATCCCTGGTGGTGTGATATAGGGTGTATACCAATATGCCAAGTGATCAAAACTCGTTTGCTCTTTCCATCACAGGGGGAATCATCCGATTTTAAGATTCCCTGCTGGAAACTAACAGGCATTTTAAAACATGAATGTGCACCTAGGCACATAAGTGCCCTAAGTTCTGTTTTACGGAACCCTGGCTAACAGAATCAGCCAATCACTCAGCTCTAGATGTGAAAAACAATGCCAAACATCTGAATATACTGCAGGGGTCTGTGGGCAAAAGACGCTGAGACTAAGGCTGACTGGCTGCCAAGACAGGGAGTCAAGGGGTTCTATGGGATACCTTCTGATTCTGCTTATTCTACAAAGGACCAGAGGACCTCAGAAAGTTCTGTGAGCCAGTGCAATTTCAGTGCTGTGGCTTCTGGAGGCGGGAGGGGGTGGTGATGCAGGAAGCCAACGCTGGAGCATCAGGATTTCCTCCTGCCAGAACAGCCCAGGGACACTGGATCAAGACTATGGGGCTATTCCAGGGAAACATAAAAATGTACTTCAGCTTCCAGCTTGAAAGGCCAACCTATGTGTATAGGGTTTGAAATCCAAGAAAACCACTTCAAGGTCATAGGGCCACAATTATGAGCCTTCTGTGGTTTCAACAAAAGATCACTGTAATCAGAGATCATAATGAATGGAATATCATGATGCCAAAAAAGCCCTTCGAAAACTTTTAACTCAATCTACTGATTAAGAATACCCAAATAATTTACAAAAGTGATTCTGATAAACTGAATTCACAATACATCATTCTGTCCCTCCATCTCCCAATCCAACCTGCTTTTATGACCAGAGAGATTCCCCCAAACAGTGACTCTTATCCATTCTGCACCAACGTGGAGAGAATGAGATAGAACTGCCCCATTCCTCATTCCTGAAAACAGGTTACTAATTAAGTAGGGAGGGAAAGCATGGATACACTATGAATAGAGGGAGAAAAACAGCACTGCCAAAGTTCACCAGTTTCCACATACAACCTCCCTCTCTTCCAAGGCAGGTGAACATCATACAGAAATCTAAAGAATTTTGAAAAATCAATTTTGTTCTTTTTGGTATCAAGGGTTATCTCTTCCAAATATTTATCAATGTTGCTCTTCAAGGAATAAATCATCTCCGAGCTTTAATATGAACCCTAAGCAAAAAAATGTGCTGGGAAGTAATTATTCAAGGTGCAATCTGTTTAAGTAGGAGGAAGGGCTCTCCTGGGTAACTAAATGGTTAGCTTTCAATGCCCAGCTCTTTGCAACACACACTTTGCAAGATGCCTGTCCTCCTGCAAAGGGTTAAAAAAGAAGAAGAAGAAAAGAAGAAAAAAAGCCTCTATCGGGTGGACTGAGAAGCCATTCTTCCCAGGGGACACTCATTTCGGGCTGCGAGGCTCAGGCTTTGTGCGAGCGCCGCCCCTCCGCGCCCCCGCCCCTCCTCCCACAGCGACTGCTCCTCCAAGGTTCCCAAGGCCACCTGCTTCTCCCGAGAAAAAGGGACTACTCGGAGCGCTATCTCAGTGCGCAGTCGGCGTCCCCGGCGATGCCCCGCGGGGAAGGAGGAGGAGGTGTCCCCGGGGAAGCGTGCTTTGTCGCGAGGGTCGCGCGGCCGCCCGCAGCGGCCCCAGAGGCCTGAAAGGTTTAGACCTGAGTCCCCGGGGCCCGGGTTCTTTCCGCGCCCCGCTCAGCGTCGGCCCAGATACCAGGGCCGACCCCCGGCATCCGAGCTCCACCCCGCCCACCCAGCCGAGCTAACGGCACGGCGCCGGGGAACCTTCTCCATCCCGCCTCCGGCCCGCGCGGCACCTGCTCGGCCCCGCCCGCTCTGGGCCGGAGCGCGGGGCTGTCCTCTCACGCCGGGGAGATCCCGCGCCAGCCAGCGGATGCCCGGGGCCCCTCTGCCTAACGGGGAGGGGGGAGGCCTGCCCTTGGGCGCCTGTCCCGGGGGGCCGCGCCTACCCCAGCCTGCCCGCGGCGCCCTCACCCCCCGCACGTCCCGCAGTAGGGGCTGCGTCCAGGGAACCCAGCCGGGACCGGTCGGCCGTACCTTGTGCGGCGCCCGCAGCAGCCGGTGGACCCCGGCCAGCTGGGTGCCGAGAGCGAGGTCCTCGCGAAACGTGAACAGCGGCGGACGGCTGGGCTCGGGGAAGTTGGTGCTGTTGAAAGGGTCCGTGTCGTCCAAGAACTGCACCCGGCAAGCCAGCGTGGCCATGATGCATCCCTGCCCCTGGGAGCGCGGGCGCCGGGATCCGCGGGGTCGCGGGCCGGGACGCCGGGGTCACACCGCGAGCAGGGGAGGCCGCGGCCGCCGCTCGCTGGCTCGCGGGCTCGCAAGCTCCGGCGCGCCCGGCTGCAGCCCGGGCTCCGGCCGCGGGGGGCGGGGCGGGGGCGGGGCCGACAGGCCCCTCTGTCCCCTCCTTCTCCGGCTCCTCCCCTCCTCCGGCCCCTAGCGCCAGGCCGCAATGCCCCGACCAGCGGGACCTGCCGCGGGGAAAGGGAAAGGGAGAACGGCTCGCGAGGCATCCGCAGCCCTGCGCCAAGCCTGCTGCCAGCGGCGGCGGGGCGGGCATCCCCGGCGGGCTGACTCCGGCAGCACCGGCGCCGCTTGGGCCGCCCGCTACACGTGCGCCCCTCGGCGTAGGGAGCTGTACCCCTCCGAGCTCCGGGAACTGGACGGAATAGCCATCCTATCTTACGCCCTCGGGGAAAGCGCTTAACCCCGTCCAGATGAAGGCGGCGGCGGCGGGCTCCTGCTGCCTGGATTTGAAAAACCCCAGCTGGGCGCCTGCAGGAGAGGGAGCCGGCCCCCGGCAGCAAGCGGGGTGGTGGCAGCCACCGGGAGCCCAGGCAGGGGTGACCGGGAGGTTTCCCTTGGGGAGAAGGAACCTTAGAAAAAGGAGGGTGAGCCGGAGAACCCACGCAGCTCCTAACAGACAATCCCAGGGGGCTCTAGGAGAGACGACTGGAGCACTGCGAGGCTCTGCCCCAGGACCCCAGTGCCGGGCGTGACACCGGGGCCACCTGGTGGGTGCTAGTTGACCCTCTGTATCACTGCCTCCTCTTGGCCAATTCGGTCCCCCGAAAGCCCTAACTGGACCTTGTGGCGCCGCGGACCGCTGCGGACGAGGTCACCGAATTGCGGAGGGGCGGCGGAGACTTGGAGACCCGCTCGCGACCGAGGGACGTGGAAGGAAGCGTTGCAGCCTGCACGCCGGAGCCCCGGGGCTCCTGTCCGCCTCCCACCGCTCTCCTAGCTGCTCGCGGGCGACCCCCTCCGTTTCTAATAAGAATTCGACAGTTCTCTCCTTTCCCAGGCGGTGGCCAAGTTGGGGGTTCCTCATACCTCATATAAGTACCCGGGCTAATACGCAATCGCTCTTGACATCCGAGTCTGTTTACAAGGCGGCTCTGTGACGTCTTTCTCCCTTCCTTCTGGTTTCAAGAGGAAAGAAACCCTTGTCCCATACTTAGCCCCTTCATTGGCATCTGTTTTTGTTTTGTTTTGTTTTTTTTTAAGTAATCTGTACACCCAATATGGGGCTGGAATTTACAACCCCGAGATCCGGGGTCGCATGCTCCGTGGAATGCGCCAGCCAGGCGCCCCATTCACCAGCACCTTTAGCCTTCCCTCTATCCATAGACTCTCCCTGTCACACATGCAGCACTTAACGCCTGGTCTTAAAATGACAATGATCCATGACACTTCTGCTCATTCCGGAAGAACTCCTAGCTCTCCTTACTTTCGCTCCTTACTTGCTGTTTGAATGAGTTCTCTGGGCAGGCCCTACACCAACTTCACCATCAACTCATGGCCAGAATACTAAACCCCCAAATTCTACTCCCTTGCCAGGGGCTTCCTACCCTCGCACTGTCGTCCCCAACTCCCTCCTCACTGAGGGAGCCCACCAGTCCTTCTGGTCGCCCCATTTCTCATCACTGTCCCAACATGAATCCCAGCACCCCCTCTCGGGCCTTCTTGCCACCCACTCCCTGGACCTCACCTATCTGTCAGTCCTGGGCTGGCTTCTGCCCCCGCCTCATCTGCCCGTGCCTGCTGACCGCGGGGCCACTCTCGGTGACCCATTTACCCCTTCTGCCTATAGATTATTCAGTACGGAAACTCATGTCTCCAGGACGAAGTCCTCCCCTCCCAGCACCCCCTCCTCTCCATCTCCCATCCACATCCTCCCTCTCCTGCATCTCAGGAGATGCCCAAAGCCTTGTTTTTCTCTCGCTCAAGGCTCTACCTCCATCCGGACCCTGAGTGCCTCCCTTCCCAACTGCTCTGGGGCCAGGCTCTGTTACTGAAGCAGCCCTCTTCTTCCTTCCTCCCTGGGCTCCTTCCCCTGAGAATCGGGGTTGAGTTCCTGGCGTGTGACCAGTGCAGTCACACAGAGCCTTGTACTTAGAAGAGCCCCACACTGGCTTTGTGCTCTGCTGTTGCTGTCTTACAAGTCTTAATAATTTAGCAAGAGGCCCCAAATTTTCATTGTGCACTGGGCTCTACAAATTAGGTAGCTGGTCCTGATAAGGAAAAAAAACAAAACAAAACAAAACACCCAAGTGGTTTCCTTCTTAAAAGCTGTACCTTTACGAAGCCTGCCTCTCACTGGCTTAACTCTCCTTCACTTCCTGACCAGCCTCTGAAAGAGAGAACTATATTCCTTCCTCGGCATCCTCACCAGCTCTTTGTTCCACATCCTGTGACACCTGTTGGGCACCTCCTGCTGTTCTGAGATCATCATTGCCCTCCTAACTGCCTCATCCAGGGGACATCTCAGCCCGGCTGCCCACTTTCTTGGTAGCATCTGTCACCATGGACCACTCCTTTTCCAAACTCTCTTCTCCCAGCTTCCATAGTTCTACCAACTCTGGGCTCTTCTCCTTCTTCCTCCTTGGCAGCTTCTTCCTGAGTCCCTCTGGATTCTGTTCCTCTCTTGAGAATAGGGCATCACAGTTACAGTTAATGTTAATTTATTCCTATGTTCCCACTAAACAAAAAGCTCCTCTAAGGCAATGACCATACTGTATTCAAATGTATGACTCCCCCCACCCCTGCCAGGGCCTGGCAGAGAGCCTAGCACAGAAAAGACACACAATAGATGTCTGATGAATGAGTGAACCTCAGAGTCATCTTTGACTCCTCTATCTTGCAATTGGTCACTATGACCTGTCACTGAATCAGTCTCTAAAATATTTCTCAACTCTTTCCTCCTGTCCAGCTCTCACTGCCTTTGCTAGTCTTCTAGCGGGTCTCCCTTCCTCAGGTGGGAATCCCTAATTTGATCTTCTACTGGCTTCCCCAGAACCAGTGATCATCCTAAGATGTGCATTTAATGTGTCATACCTTAGGGTAAAATCCTTACATGCCAACCCCCTTACCATGACTCACAAAAACGTCTAAAATCTTCCCCAGTCTACCACACCAGGCTCATCTCTGGTTATTCCCTGCTTGGTACCCTGTTTCAAGGCACACTGAATTTATTACCTTTTCCCAAACATGCTGGGATTTTGCATGATGAGCTTCTCGACCTAGAACACTCTACCCTATCGAGTTGGCCAGCTGAACCCACTTATCCTTCACCACTCATTTCTAAGGTCAACTCTTGTAGAAAGGCATCTCCAGCTCCACCCCAAAAGAAGATTGTCTCTCCTTCCTCTGTGGTCTTAGACTACTTTCTACATGTCCTGATTCTAGCACTTTTCATACGTGCTTACCTGTATTTTACCTATGCGCTACTAAACTATAAGATTTCCAGGATTGGAATTCACCTTCCTCAGTTTTAGTCTTAAAACTTCAAATAGCAACTGGCACTAAAGTAAAACCTTTAAAATTTTTAATTATATGTTACCCTTAATTCTTTTAAGGATTTTTGCCCCAACCATTCCCTTGAGACTGCTTTTAGCAATAATATTTTTCTCTTGATTACTAGCCCGTGTTTTTTCTCAACTTATTTTTTGAAATCATTCTTTTATAGTGATATAATGCTTTCTTTTAATTTAAAAGGTCAAGAGTAATAAGTTATAGCAGAAAAAATCCGCTCCCTATTTTACAACCCCCATTCCCATCCCACTCCACTTCTCAGAGGCAACCATTTCTTTTTTTTTTTTTTAGAGGCACCCATTTCTAAACAATGTAAATACACTGATATACTTTGAACTATGAATTTTAGATAATACATTGGCTTTCTTTTGTGCTAAATGAGGATTTTTGCTTCATTGCAGACTATTTCCCTTTCTTCATCTTCCCAATATAGTCTTATCACAATTTTAATTAAATTCCTATTCAGTGATTTTTTAAAATGTAAGATTATGTTAATATTGTTTACTTTTGTGCCAAGTAGTGTACATGTTTACATGACCTTTCTCGTACAACTTTCTGTTTTTCTGAAGCTAATATTTGCTTCAATTTTTTTCACTTGCTTATTTTTTTTCTTGAACAGCTGGTTAGGTCTTCTCATATCCTGTAACAGCCCTGAAAATGCCTCTGTCCATACGGCCCAATAATTTCTCAGTGCTGTGTTTTCTCTTAAGATATCCTTTTCAGAGATATTCCTCTGGGTGTCCTTGACGCTCTTGCTCTCATTTGGAATGTGGCTCTCTCAGCCCTATCTTCCTGGAGAGTTCCTTGGCTTCTCTCACTTGTCTTATTCTTTCTTGACTTATATTCTCATTTTTGTCAATACATACCCTAGTGGTTTCCTGAAAGGATAAGTTTTTGATCACTTTTATGTCTGAAAGTATCTTCATTCTCTAGCCTCACCCTTGTCTCAGTATCATCGTTTTGCTGGCAAGAATGGCCACAGTAAATTCTTCCTACTCCTTTTATTCCTACCATTTTGCAATCTGACTTTTCCACTTCTTCCATAAAAGGTGGGACTATTTCCCCCACTCCTTAAATGGGGATGGCTTTGTGACTTGCTCTGACAAATATAATATGTTGTAAGTGGCTTGTGTGACTTCTAAAATGAGGCACCAATTTACCGCTTCTGCTCTCACCCTCTTGGAATGTTGACTTGAGCCTACCACGTGAAGAAGCCAGGTCTAGCCTCAGAAAAGTGGTAAGAAAACTACTACTGAAGACTGGGAATATGGTTAGCAGTGTTATGTAGCAGTAAAACAATTGGCAAAACGTTTACCCAACTGCCTACAGTAATTTGGGAGATAAAAAATGTATCTAATGAACTAGGAGTCTTAGCTAAGGAGCGCTCTAGACATCATGTCAAAAGTGTCTGTTAGGTGCTTCTAACTGTATATTATAAGATATTCTGTTTGCAAGCAGAATTTAGAGGAAATAGAGAGGGCCTAAGACTTACTGGGTTGTAAAATAAAATAATCTCTCACCCCCAGGGTACCCACCTAGTAACTGACTTTGG